CAGCAGGAAGCGAAAGGGTGGGAGTCTCCGTGTTCTCTCCTGAGGTGAATTTCTCTTCTGAGGTTAATTTTGTCACGTGTTGCTTTTGTGGGCAGGACTCAGGTAACGCAGCCAGTAGATAGGGAGTCCTTCTGAGTGACACATCAGGGAGCCAACTGATTTGGGAGTGCATGGAATGTTCTGGGGAGTGCCACTCCAAAACACAATTATTATAGAGAAAGATTTTTGTACATCTCGGTACCAATCTCTAGATGTCTTCTTGACCTAGTACTTTTTGTTTTCTGGGACTGTCAGGGAGATAATATGAAACAAATCAGAGTGATGTCCACACTGGTAAACTGAGAAGGTAGCTTCTGATTTTCTGTCATTTTGTGTCCCCATCCCCCAGGAGAACATTTCCGGAGTATTCAACAAGACCTGTGCTATCAGCTACACTTCGTACCGAAACGTGTTCCCTATTTGGACTCTTGGACGCTTTTCTCACCTGCATCCTGACAGCCCCCTGGCTGGCAGGTGTTCGACTGAGCTGTTAGAAAACGAAGAGATGGCAAATGGGTACAGGCGTCCTGCCCACTCTACCTAAGCTGGCTGCTGAAGCAGGTCTTTCTTTGTAGATTTCCCAACTGTAGGACTATTGAGGATGACTAGAAGGCTTTGCCTGGTTCTCAAAGAATCAGTGAGGGTAGAGAGTTGACGGAGGGCACTGAAGGCTTCTCCAAATGGCTTGTCCTCCCGATGGTTCTCGCTGTGTTCTTTTTCCTGCTGTGAACTCCTGTGTATTTATAAACACGCACACAGTAAGAGGGAGCAGAAATAGTGTGTACCTGTTCGGCGGCTATGCAGCCTGTGAGTCAGCTTATAAAGGTAACATGTGGAGGTAAGTGGGGGGTTTTCTTGGGGCTCAGGACCACGTTGATCCTGACCCCCGACTCTGGCTGGGTTCTGTGCACCTCACCTATTGCTGAGCCTGACTCTGCTTTTGCCTTGTGTGGGGTGTCTATGTGGGGTGACAGCAACACAGTCTGATTTTTGAAGTAACTGAGGTGAATAAACAAAAGAACTTTTAATCACAGCAGCGGTAGTTTTTGTCCTTTACTTCTCAGTTGTAATTTTCTTTCTTCCTTTTTTTGGGGGGCGAGATCAGTTCTCCTCATCTTGGCCCTGCCATATGTCTCTTAATGGGGCACACCACACCAGTTTGGTGTAGTAGTTAGGACAGGGCTCTTTTTGTAGAAAAAGCCCAGCAGGAACTCATTAGCATAATAGGCCACACCCAACAGCAGAAACTCATTAGCATATTAGGCCACACCCTGACAGCACCGCTTATTAGCACATTAGGCCACACCCCCATGTTACCAGAAGTGTGGTCATCCAGCCACACCCACCTTTCCCTTCTTATTCTGTTTACCTTGTTTGTTGTCAAAACCCAGGGCCTTTTTTTGTAGCAGGAACTCCTTTGCATGTTAGGCCGCACACCTCTAATGTAGCCAATCCTAATGAGTTTCTGCTATTGGGTGTAGCCTATTATGCTAATGGGTTCCTGCTGGGCGTGGCCAACTCAGGAGCCAGCCGGAACTCCGTTCCTGTGCGTTCCTGCCCAAAAATAGCCCTGAGTTAGGAGTGTGGGCACTAATCTTTATTTATTATTTCTATTGATATCCTGCCTTGCCTGTAGAGACGGCCTCAAGGCGGCGTACAACAAGTTAAAATACGATAAAACATGGTGCGTAAATGCAGTACCATAAACTTCCACATAAAACAGTATACAAGTAAAAGGCAGATCAATATAGATGGCAGTTGCTGTACAGTGATCCGGTGTAACCAGACCAGCATCCATAGTTGTTCTTAGTGCTCATTCATCAGTGGCAGCTCCTAGTTGAAAGCCTGGTGGAAGAGCTCTGGGTTTGATTCCCCACTCCTGCACATGCAGCTGCTGATGAGACCTTGGGTCAGTCCCAAGTTCTCTCAGAGCTGTTCTCTCATGAGCAGTTCTTGAGAGAGCTCTCTCAGCCTCACCTGCCTCATGGGGTATCTGTTGCGAGGAGGGGAAGGGAAAGGAGATTGTCAGCCGCTCTGAGACTCCTTCAGGTAGTGAAGGGCAGGGTATAAATCCAATCTCTTCTTCTTCTTCTTCTCCCTACCTGGCAGCGCCAGACCTGAGAGATGCAACCAGTTGCAGAATTATGAGATGGAAGAATGGACTCTACCACTTCAGACTGCAGGTGTGGGGGGGTGTCACATTTTGAATGCTCCCTAATGGTAGGAGTGCCTTGTAAATAAATATGTTTTAAAAATAGCAGGACAAACCTAGACACTACTCTCTAGCAGACTAGTTTTCTTGCAGATAGTTCTTGCAGTTTAAATGGAAGTGTATTTTTCCACCTGCATTCTGAAGTGGTGTGGTCCATTCTGTCATCTCTCATTTGTAGATTCCAAATGCAGGCACAAAAGATTCACTTTTGTACACAGCCCTGTTATAAAACTGCATCTTGTGTGTCTGCGGTTCTGTTGCAAAGTTGTTTGTCTCGCTCTAATCTTAGGTGGTCTCTAAATGGCACAGAAAGAAGGGTCTCTCTGCATACACTTTGTTTTCCTATTTATGAACCTTTTAAAATCGCTCTTTACGAAGACAGAAGAGGATTCAGGGATGTCAGAAAGCACAATGTGCCCTTCATTCTTCTGCTCTAGTTACCTGTTTTTGACATCCTGACTTCTATTTCTTTTGTGACGTGCCATGCTCGGATTCAGTGGAAAGGTGACTTCCAAAGGAAGCAAAAGTGAACAGACACTTAAGACATTGCTGTGCGGTTGAAAATAGTTATGTTTTAAGAAAGAAGGACTGTGTTCTTCTTGGTGGCCTCTCATGCTATCTCACCTGTCGGATCTGTGCAGGAGCTAGTCAGTCAACATTTTGTGCATCTCTGGAGAATGAATGATCCTTCCTGTCAACAGCATTCGTGTCCAGCAGGGTGAGCTGTTCACCTTTTCTTGCCACCATGGAGGGGAGGACCGCTTGCCTTTCTCTTACAGAAGAAGAAGAAGAAGAAGAGATATTGGATTTATCCCCCGCCCTTCACTTGGAGTCTCAGAGCGGCTTACAAACTCCTTTCCCTTCCCCTCCCCACAACAGACACCCTGTGAGGTGGGTGGGGCTGAGAGAACTCTGACACAAACTGCTCTTTTTCAAGGACAGCTGTGCCAGAGCTTGTGACTGACCCAAGGTCACATCAGCAGGTGCAAGTGGAGGAGTGGGGAATCAAACCCGGTTCTCCCAGATTAGAGTCCGCACACTTAACCACTACACCAAACTGGCTCTCTACAGGTTGGATCATAGAGCAAATTTAGAGTCCAGTGGCACCTTTAAGACCAACAAAGGTTTATTCAAGGTCAACAAAGGTTTATTCAAGGTATGAGCTTTCGTGTGCATGAATACTTTTCCAGATACATTGGAATGGAAGATAAGAGTTCAAACTTATAGACAGAGGCTGAACGGCAAATTAACATGTAACATGATGAAGATGTTTTAAGGTATGCGAAGAGAAAACTAAGTAACAAGCTAAGGTTATAAGGCCAACTGTTGTTTTGATTCAATTAAGGGGGGAAAGCAGTAAAGATACATGTATAAAAGTATATTTCTAATTGTGGGAAGTAAACTGAGACTCTCCGTTCGTCTCCTCTCAGGCATGGAGGTAACTTGACAGCATTTTTTTCTTATTTGGGGTGGTTGCAGTGTTCTGTCAGCAAAACATTCCAAGATTCCTTGCATTACATTCCGTATTCTAATATACTTTCCTGGAAAAGAAATACACTAAAATACAGAGAACGTATAGGCCTTCTTGTTGAGAGTATACATATGTGAGGATTGAATGAGTTAACATATGTAATAAGAAACCAATATCCCTGTTGTGTCCTGGGGAGATTGGATCATAGAACATGCTGCAACTGACCCTTTTCACCTTTTTTGTGAATGACTTAGCAATGGGGGTGGGGGTCAAGGTTCCCTGATCTGACAGCTACCACTCCTACCAGTCACATGTCTATGTATTATTTATACTCCCAAACTTCATTGCTGCCCATATCGTGGCACTTCTGATATCCTTGCTTTAACCCTCACCATTTTCTGTCTACTGTAGAACTATCAGAAAGGCAGCGCAGTGACTGAGTTAAAGGCTGCATGGTGGCAGAATGTATTGGGCACATAAATGCCTTTCCTGTACTCTTGTCAGGATGCTAGGACTTGGACTCTCTCCCTGGGTATAGCCACCCTGAGCCCTGCCTGGCGGGGAAAGGAGTGGGATAAAAATCGAATCAATAAATTAAATAAATACCATACCAGCAATGCTCCCTTTGAGCTGTGGAGTCTTGTGAGCAAAAATTCTACTTTGTGAGCTCCTGGCATTAAAGTTGTGAGCAGGCAATTTGGCTGCTGAATCACTTAGTTTGCTCTGGAGCCCTCCTTCCTGAGCTAAGGCAAAAATGTGTGAGCCGGAGGCTGAAAAACTGTGAGCTAGCTCACACTAACTCAGCTTAGAGGGAACATTGGTCACAGGAGTATTTTTCAGTACTCCCCCACCTTTCCAATTTTTTCCCACTGGAAAAACTGACAAAAGGACTCGGGGGGGAAATATCTTCGACTAGATAGCACCTCTGTGTCGTTCCTTCTTCGCAGTCTTTGTCTTTCTAAAATCCCAAGTTCTTTTAAAGTAAAACAATAAAAAACACATAACATTCAAAGCGGCTGTAGGTAGTCGCACTGGTTCAAAGCAAAATCCAAAACCAGAAGCTAGGCAACACGTTTTATTAGGACCAACCAAAGCAACAACAAAGTCTGCAAGCTTTCTGGGTCTACCAAGCTCTTCATCGGGTTGGATATTTATTTTTAAAAAGGAAGCTTTTCTGAAAGAGGATAATGTTCTCTGTCATCCTTGGGCCTGAGAGAGGGGGTGGGGAATGGCAACACTGTTACTGTGCACGGCCTCATGAGATACGGGCGTGCTCGACTTGGGTCAGTGTGAGTGTGGCCCAATGTCCTGTTTGGCACAAACACTAAAACAGCCAGAGCCTAAGGGGTGTATGCGTATGCACACACACGCACACATAAGGAAGCTTAGAGGGAACACTGCTTATCAGAGCCTTCATCCTCCATGAAGACAGAGGGAAGGAAGTATTTGAGAGTCTCCTCAAGGGCTTCGATGGGTACGGAAACAAAGATGGTCTTGAATGAAACGCTCCTACTGGATCCACCCTAGGTGGAAAAGAGGGGGGGGATTGTACACACAAAGGGAAGATCCTCTGGCTTTGTAAGACGTAAAAGAATGAATGTGGTGAATTCATTCAGGGTGGAAGCCTTGTGAGTGGAAAAACTTCACAAAGTCTTTCCTCATTTTCCCATTTCAAAAGGTTGGGCTGGGAAAGGGAGTGACATGCCAAAACGGTCATCTCTGTAAGCAGAAGGTTTTTGAATTTATTATTTTCTTTTACAAAACACACACCCTGCCTTTCTGCCCCCACACGGGCCACCAGGGGGGCAAACAGAACATGCAGAATAAAATCACATTTGAAAATAATTAAAGCTGCCCCCTAAACCCATCATTAAAACAAATCAAAACCAGAGCTAAAATACATAGACAACGAAACCCTGGGCAGGAAGGAGGGATCACTGAGGGGATGCCAAACAATAGTAACGGTAAAGGTTTCCCTCGCTCGAAAGCCAGTCAAATCTGACTCTAGGGGGCGGTGCTCATCTCCGTTTCCAAGCCGAAGAGCCAGCGCTGTCTGAAGACTTCTCCGTGGTCACGTGGCTGGCATGACTAAACACCGAGGTGCACAGAACGCGGTTACCTTCCCACTGAAGCGGTACCTATTTATCTACTTGCAGTTTCTTGCCTTCAAACTGCTAGGTTGGCAGGAGCTGGAACCAAAGACGGGAGCTCACTCCATCATGCGGCACTCGGGTCTCGAACTGCTGAACTACCGACCTACGGACCTTCCAGACTGCAGCTCAGCATCTTAACCTCTGAGCCACTGTGGCACCTCT